TTTGTCTCGTCGCTCCGGCCGGACAGGGCATCACAGTATGGTAAGGGGCGTAACATTTCCGTCACACGCTTGAGGTATTCGGCCAATCACAACGCACTGGATAGCTGGCCAATCAGAGCACACCTCGCTTTTCAGATCGATGAGCTTTGTAAAAATTCAACGCGTTTCAGAAAGGCGGGGCATAGAGGAGAAACAATAATGTACAGTATGTGGAAAATAATGTGTTTTTTGAACCTTAAACCGCATAAACACATTTCATTACACCAAATACACCAAATGTTCTTTTTAGCAGCATCATATGACCCCTTTAAATGACACAACTAAAAATTTCACCCTTATGTAATGCTTGTATGACTTTATTTGACTAGCAGCAACATTTTTTTTATCTGCACTAAGTGAAATATCTAAATGCAAAGGAATATTTGGGGTTACTGGTAATTGTGATTGTAACACGCTGCTAGTTACAACAGAAAACTAGGGTGACTACGTTGACAGAAAATGTATTCAGTTTTTTTCTGTCTGTCTAATAAATTCTGCAATATAGTAATAATTGTAATTGCATTTTAATATATTTATATGTAATTTTTTATGATAAAATATGTCAGAACTTTTATCCTGCTGACACATTTGAAAATAGTTTTCAGTTTAATATTTTTTTTTATTAAAATAGATCTGAAGCGTTTTATTTAAGTCTTTGTCTTTTAATCCTGTTTTAATCCTATATTTGTCTAAAAAATTTATAATTATAATTTCTTTAATTTATTATAATTATAATATATTTTTATATTATTATATTTAGTGGTCGACCGATATATCGGCCGATATTTGGCTTTTTTCAAATATCGGCATCGGCCGATAAGTTTTTCCTGTTTGGCCGATGCTTTTGAGGCGGGACTTTTATTTTGACGGCGCTGAGAATGACACAGTGCTCACATTCTCCCTCTTGTTTGCTGTCGTCGTTAACAGTTCTGTCTAATACGGATAGAAGTCTGTCTAATAATCAGATAGAACGGTTAAACAAAGGAATTAAAATGTATACAAAAAAGTATTATAACGATTGCTTTTATATTATTAGTAATAGAAAAGCAAACATTATAATACTGTCTCGTCAGCATTCAGCAAATACGCATTTAAATCATTTGAACAAATCTTTGAATGTCTATTAATGAACATTTAATTTCACAAACCTTGCAAACACCAGGGGGCCCCCTTGCTCTCAAAGATGATTTAATTTTTGTTTCGTTTTTGAATTTGGCCAGCGATTATGAAAACCGTTTATATATCATTTCTTTTAATGCGGTGCGCTGTCGCCCTTTCTATGTAAAAATCAGTCAAATCATGTAATGTGAATGTCATACAGTGTCTTACTCGATAAAAAAATAAAAAATGAGTTGAAAGCGTACCGAGCCACGGAAGAGACACCATTTCTCAAGCGGACAAAGGCGTTTCATTCATTCATAACTCGTCATACCCCCCAACCCCCTCGCCAACACAGTTTTAGCATAATACAACATGTGGAACTGGCAGGCAATTGTAGAAATTCAACTGTATAGAAATAGAACGCTCTAACAGAGACGCTCCCTTCCTAATCCATTAGATCAAAGCTTCTATCCTCTATTCAAGGGGTGTATGATAACTGGAGAAGAGGACACAATTGCGCCAGGTCCCAAAGCTTCAAGTGACATTACGCCAAAAACTCTATTTGGCTCCCATTGGACAACGTATCAATGACATCAGCATCTTCTCCTCTCTATGCTCGCAGCTAATCAGAGGAGTTGGAGGTGGCGTCAGGATGGCTAGGATTGGCTCTGGCTCTGCGTGACGGTCGGTCTGTGCGAATTGAATCACTGGAGATGCGTGATCAACAAAATTTAAACTCGTGATTTCCAATCATGCTGCGCTATATCCATTTGCCCACTGTCATATTCATGTCATTTTCACTGTGTGTAAAATGACTGTTACCTTGGCTTTATTTGAAAAAATATGATTCCCAATGCACACAAACTTCCCAGATTACTTAGTGCCCTGTTGGTTACAATGTTGACTTTTTATTAAATATTTATTTATTTGTGAAAAATACATTGTCATCTAAAGTATAAGTATGTTTATTTTACACATTTATTTTTAAATCCATTTTCAAATGATTTCAAATTTCTTAAATATTAATTAAAATAAATACAATTATATCGACCATCGGCCACCCTGCTTTCCAAGATATCGGCATCGGCTGTCAAAAAACCAATATCGGTCGACCACTAATTATATTATATATTATTATACTTGTTAATACCTTTCTGTGACTCAGAACCTTTGAAACTTTGTAAGTTACGTGCGTTTTTCCAAACCATTAATGTTGTCTGGATTTTCTCACATCTTCTCCCTCTCTCTATTAAGGCTTCACAGTTTTTGCTGAGGGTAATCCGAGGTCATGTTTCATAATTAATAGCGTTGTTCGCTTTTTATCTCCAGGGATCCAGTTAATTATGCAGAGGAATGATTGTCTGCATGCAGGTGTTTTGTTGTAGTTTTTATCGTCGCTTGAATTCACATTGTCCAGGGAAACGGTTTTATGCAGTTGTCCTGCCCCCAGACAACGGCCCCAAAGATGACCGCTCAATCTGTGACCACACAAGTTTAGTGTGATTAGAAATAGTTCCCTTCTAAGAATACAAGAAAGAACAGCATGTGCAGACAACTCACAAAATTAGTGTAAAAGACAGAGATTGTGCCAAACGTGGTTGCTTTCAAAACAAAAAGGAGATTCAGAAGGACATTTATGGACATGAACAATCCTCATCTTTCTACATTGCACGTGTGTTAATGTTTATCAGGTTAATCACATTAAATGGCCAAACATAATCAGATTAATTCTAAATAGATTGCATTGGTAGTTTTTTTTTTATCTTTTGTGTTTCTTGTAATTTTTCAACCATCTTCAGGCTAACCTTTTCCATATTTTGCACATTTAAGCATCACACAAAGATGTTCTTTGTTAAAGAAAGAATGCTCTCCTCCTTTAATAATCATTAAATCACTACCTTGCTCGTGTTGGATTGTGTCAGTAGTGAACTGCCAGAAAGAACTTGTCAATCACAGTCAGTATGGAGCCGCCCATTTTATTGTTCAGAACAAGAACGCTTCATTCTTTTAGACTATATAGTCTCCAGCTTTGTTTAGACAGGCAGCAAAAATGAGATTTTTTTTGTGTGTCCAACTCAAGTCTAATCAGTTATTTGTAGTCTGAAAATTGGAATATTTTTCAAATTCACATGTGGTTTGAAATCTAATTACATATAATTGTTTCAGTCTAAACAGTAGGGTTGGGTACCGTTCACGTTTTAACCAGTACGGTACCGGTATCGGTACCTGAATTTAGGTGCCGGTACCTTTTTTCGGTACTTTACTCTCTGTGTAATTACAAAAACATTTATTTCAGTTAAAAAATAAGTCCGAAAGTCTCAATTTCAACATTTTGAACAATAGGGCCCTACAAACTTTTCTTTCTTTCTTTTTTTTTCCCCCAGAAATTCTTGTTTTAATTTTTCTGAAAATCAAATGAAGGCATTAAACATTTATTTTAAATCAAATGAAAATTAAACCCTTTTATTTTTTTGGCAAACAAACAGGTTTACTGCTGAAATTAATACATGGAAGAAAAATTGTGTGAATATTCTTTTAAAACATTTTTTAATAGGCTAATAATTGTATTATTTTTTTTCTACAATTAAGTGATGAAGTTAATATTTATTTTTATCATTTAATTGTTTTATTTAAATTTGATAGAAAATTTAATATTTAAAGATGTGCATTATACTGTACAAAAGTAATAAAAGAGTAATATATTTCTGTTACATGTTAAACCGTACTTTTATTTTGACAGGTTGCCATGAAGTTTCTGTGTGTATACAGTATGATGATGCTAGTTTTCTCAAATGAAATGGTAAAATTCTCGCGAAGTGACTCACAGCAGCTCTGGAGATTAAGTTTTTGTTGTTCATGCCGTCATATAGTGAGACGCAGAGGCCGAAAATCACCGCGAGCGTCACGCGTGCTTCAGTATTTGTGTAGTAAACAAAACCGCGTTTCCGCCATTCATACATACAGAGGCAAGCGGAACATGCAGGATTCATATTTAAACCATCTTTTTGCGTTTTAATATTCACAGACACTAGTTCATATCGCGATTCGAATTAAGTGGCAGTGGCTACTTTTGATGTATTCATCCAAAATTGACGAATTCCGTGGCATTCCGCACAATATAGAGTAAATTACGTTTTTATGAATGGACTCCACGATCCCGTCCGCGTTTTCTCAGAAACCATATGGCCCTAGAAATGTAACCACACTTCAGAACATTTCGGCTTGCCCTGTGTGTTGTTTGAACGAGTTGCAGGGGTGACATCACGTCACAGGGTCTCTCTTTCTCTCTCTGTAGCGTATGCGCCCAGATGCATTCTCAGGTACCGAAATTTGGCACCGATTGTTTTAACGTGAATCGGTACTCTGTAGTACTGACACAATTCGGTCGGTACCCTTAAAAGTACCAAGTTCGGTACCCAACCCTACTAAACAGTAAGGTTTTTTGTCATTTGGATTGTGATGTGGATTTTACGCCATAAACACTACAATTCTAAAGTTTGGACTTGGTACGATTTTTTAATGTTTTTTTTTTTTTTTTTTAAGAAGTCTCTTATGCGCACCAAGGCTGCATTCATTGGATCAGAAATACAGTAAAAAACAGTAATATTGTGAAATATCATAAAATAACTATTTTCTATATAAATATATTTTAAAATGTAATTTATTCCTGTGATGCAAAGCTGAATTTTCAGCATGATTATTCCAGTCTTCAGTGTTACATGATCCTTCAGAAATCATTCTGAATCATTCATTTGTTGCTTAAGAAACATATTTTTTTTTCGGAGACTGTGATTCGTCTGACAGAGAATTGTCAGAATTCTTTGATGTATTCAAAGTTCCAAAAAACAGCATTTGTTTGAAATAGAAGTATTTTGTAACATTATAAATGTCTTTACTGTCACTTTTGATCAATGAAATGTGTCCTTGCTGAATAAAAGTGTTCTTTCACAAACTTTTAAACAGGAGTGTAGATAAATCAGATAATGAATGACAACAATTTTGGTGAAACAAACAGATCACAGATTTCATCGCTTACAAAATGACAGTGTGGACAGTCGGTCCTAAACATTGACTTTAACAACAAAACAGATGTATATGCAATGTGAGCAAAGACTATATGTCCATATAATAATATAACATTGCCACCATCAACGACAAATCATAGTTTGAACTAGAACAGACTTCCTTGGTCAAGGATAGCAGCAGTTACGTGCGAGAAATCTGAATATTTGCACAGTGCAATGTTTTTTTTTTCACAGAAATATTACTGATGTGAGCTGTACAAATAAAGCCATGTCAAGACTCATTTAAACCCTCTTCCTCTGTAGATACGTGTAAAAATACTCCTTTGATGCTGATGGTGAAACACTGTTCTTTCAAGTGTAGTCGGAAAGATTGGGACTGACAAAACTGGACATTCCCAATCTGTCTCAGCCGTCTGTTTTCAGTTTGCAGTATCAGCGGTGCTTGATTGCCATAATGGCACACAAAACCAGAGTGAGGTTTTTAAGTCACAGGGGAGTTGGTGTGCACCTTCTGTGTGCTCGGCAGTAGTAGCCACATCTAAGAGAGCCTTTGAAATTAAGAGATCATTTGTTTTTAATGAAACTTAGCAGCAGTTTTCCAAAATCACGCACACGTTCACCCCCAATGTTCAAAAAAAGACCCTTTTGAATCCGAATTGTGTCTTTTAAAAAGGGCGATGGGGGTGAATTCGGCCTTTAATACCAATTTCAACCATGCCAGAGCCCTCACACACCAGGCATAAGTGATCATTGTAAATCATGGTAACAGCTCTAAATTAGCTTTTGCTCGTTGGAATGACATCAAATAACATGGCCTTCTTTTGGATGGTGCTGTTGTAGACGTGAACTTCCTCACACCGACACCTGGTTTGAGTTAAAGGCTGAATGTGTTATTATTAACGTGAAAAACACTGTTTAGAAGCTGTAAGAAAAATTACCCTTCTGGGGTCACTGAAGTTTTTCTCAGCAATGTTTGTAGTGGGATTATATGCAATGAATAGCTAAATCTTTTTGTTTCAGATTAATGTCATTCTGTGAAACATGAATGCTCGACACCCAAGTATTTAATCACATTTGGACTGTTCAGACGCCTTTGGCTCCTACTAATAGTATGCAGTTTTACTGTTTTCTTATTCCTTAAAATGCAGAGATTGTGATGGAGCCTAGCTTTTGGTGCTCATGTAGGCAGCGCAGGTTTGAATCTGGCTCATTTCCCGAATCTGTTCCTCCTCCGTCCACCCATTATTTCCTGTCCTCTTTTGACTATCCTGCCAATAAAAATCTGGAAAATGCTAAATTAATTGATCAGTATGTATTTATGTTCTTGTGTTTGTTTATCTACAGTGATGCTGCAACCGTTCGATTATGATCCGAATGAGAAAAGCAAACACAAGTTCATGGTACAGTCTCTGCTGGCCCCACCTGACATGACCGATACTGAGGGAGTGGTGAGTACTGATTCATGCCACCTGCTTTCTCAAGCTTTACACTCGTTCACTTGTTCAGAAACATTTGCTTTTGGTTGCATATTCTCCTATTTTATTAACACTATGAAGACTGTATATGTAATGTATTATAAAACCATTGCTGATATCCTAAAAGCTGATGTCTTTGACATTATAATTGGTCCAAAATGTATTTTGGAGCTGCTAAATGAAGGTGAATTCATAAATATATAAATATATTATTAATTATATACTTTTATAGTATTTATTGATATTTTAAATAAGCTTTTATTTTTGTTTACAGTACATTTTAATTTTAGTTTAGGTTTTAGTAATTTTATGTGCTTTTATCATTTTTGTTAGTTTTTTTTTTTTGTATTTCTATTCAGCTTTAATTTATTTTCATTTCAGTTTTAATAATATTAGTACTTCAGCTTGAACTTATTTTATTTTAGTTAATTTCCAAGACAACATTTCAAACTTTTCTTTGTTTTTTTTAAGTTTACATTTTTCTGATATTCGTGTTAACAGAAATTATTTTTAATAGTTTTAGTTAGCAATAACAGCACTGGTCATAAAACAGTATTTGCATTATTTTAGTTTTAATATAAAAGCTTCATAGAGATTGTGCAGCAATGCCAGTAAGCAATAATATTATGAGAACCCCCAGCTTAGAGCAACACCATATGATACAAATGGTGTGAGTTTGCTGTTCAAGTAATACAAACAAGTGTAACATAACTCCGACAATGTTTGGTGGGGCCCAAAAGTACGATCCAAATCTCACGTTCATAACTCTTTCGGAGCTTTCTGAATGACGCCCCAAATAGAGCATGCTGAAAATGTGTGTATGCATGTGCAGACGCAACGATAAATAGGTTATGAAAACGTCAGGAATGGAGAAGTAGAAAGAAAATGTAGAGCAGAGTTCTGGCTACTTATTCACTGTCCTGAGCTATTTCCACTTTTCCTGTTGATGGCTCTAAAGCTCAGCTCCAAAACTAAGAGACTGCCTCGCTGTCTGCTGTCTACAAAGGTGTATACTTTCTAAGATATAACTACAATGAAACCTCACAAATGACTGATTTGAAACTCTCTCTCAATTGGCAATTGAATACAGCTAACATCCACAATTGGCTCAGTTTGTGTGTGGTGAAGCTAATGTAGTAGATTGAGCATTTACAATTTTTCAGAGATTGATATTGTCTTTTTTTCAATATGCTGTTGTACTTTTTCTATTAACTACATTTCTTTCGGGAAATCTTCATGTCGGGAATGAGCCTAAAATGCTGTGTATGTAAGCAGGCCACTAGGGTTTGTAAACAGCTCATGAGGTGTTTATTTGGTGCATAATCATATGTATGCACGTGTTTACATATGTTGTTCTTCTCTCGTGCAGTGGAAGGACGCCAAGCCTGAGGATCTGATGGACTCCAAGCTGAGATGTGTCTTTGACATGCCCGCTGAAAATGAGAAAACAGTAAGTGGATGGGTTTTCATGTTCTTCCTCATGTTAGCACTGAGCTCTAGGCAGTGTGTGAAATGACAATGACAGCAGGCATGGCACCCTCTCCTAAAACTAATAAGCAAAACAGATTCTTGGCTCTTTTATGGATGCATTTGCTCATGATTCGTTCTGTGTGTGTGTGTGTGTGTGTGTGTGTGTGTGTGTGTGGGTGTGTGGTTGTGTGTGTGTGTGCGTGTGTGTGTGTGTGTGTGTAAACCTGATTGTGGCCACAGCATGAAATGGAAAGCAATAAGATATCCTCCAGTATCTCAAAGTCGGAATCATCCACATTGTCTATGAAGTCCATGGTCAGTCTGGATGATGGAGAGGTGAAGAAGATCATGGAGGAATGTAAAAGACTGCAGACGGAGGTGCAGCGGCTACGAGAGGAGAACAAACAGATCAGGGTGAGTATGTTTGCTAATTGCATTCTCACAAATGTAAGCAGTAGTCATAAAACATCAGATGCTTGTTTTCTATTTTCTTTGAAGCTCAAAATTCAAATGTACATAATGCTTTTGTCAATTGTCAGAGTAATATTACATTATATACACTACAGTTTAGAAGATTGGGGTTGGTAACAGTTTTTAATGTTTCTGAAAGAAGTCTCTTAATGCTCACAGAGGCTGCATTTGTTTGATCAAAATAATATTGTGAAATATTATTTTAAAAAATGTGTTTTCTATATTAATATATTTTAAACCGTAATTTATTCCTGTGATGCAAAGCTGAATTGTCAGCTCCCATCACTCCAGTCTTCAGTGTCACATGGTCTTTCTGATCTGATGATTTGGTGCTCAAGAAACATTTCTTATTTTAATAAATGTTGAAAACGGTTGTGCTGCTTAATATTTTTGTGGAAACTGTGATTTTGTGCAGGATTTTTGGTGCATAGCATTTATTTGAAATAGAAACCTTTATTTTAAATATAACATTATAAATGTCTTAACTCTAACCATTGATTAATTTGATGCATCCTTGCTGGATAAAATTATTAATTTCTTGCAAAAAATAAATAAATCTGACCCCAAACTTTTGAATGATAGTATATAGAACAGAATTGAATTTAGATTAAGTACTTCAAATAAATAAATGACTGGAAATATAAATAAATTAAATGTGGGTTTTACACACACATGCTTTTTGATCAATTCTTGTACGATCACTTCATTTACTAACTTGATTTTAGAGGCAATAAAAATGAGACAAAATAAAAGGTTTTATAATGGCATTTAAGAGTGCACTTTCTCTAAATGCTGTCTTACATTTAATTACAGGCATTGTGTCTTATCTTTAAAGTGGTTATTCTGCATTTTAATTCATTTTCTTCCTCTGATGTCCACTTAAAATGTTTTTGTTGTGCAAAAACCATAGTATTTTAAGTTTTTCATGACAACTTTGGCCCTTTGTCGATGTTCAGGCTGCCTTTAAGAAATGCCCTATTTATATCTGCCATCCTGCTCTCTAGGTATTGACAATACGTATCTGCCATTGAACAACACATACATGACTTTTGTGCTCATTCACCATATTGTATAAATTTGTAACGGCCACAGGATGAACATATTGAGAGACGGAAGTGAAGATAACCTGGTCTTACTCATCAGCGCTGTGTGAAGCTGCAGCCGGGGACCATTACTGCTGCTTGTTTAATGAGACGAGCGCAGGGCCAAAAGCACTTTTCATAACTCCCCAGATTATTTCTGTCATCTAACTATCTTTATCTTTATCTCTCTCTCCACTTACCCCCATTTCCCCTCCCCAGCAGGAAGATGATGGTCTGCGGATGAGGAAGAGTACAGTAATGTCCGCTCCGCACTCATCTTCAGCGGTGAGAGTGAAGGAGGAGGGGCTGAGCACCAGGGTGATCGCTCTAATTGTGCTGTTTTTTGTCATGGGTGTCATTGTAGGCAAGTTGGCCTTGTAAAATGCAAGAGGGGAGCACTACAAGCATGCATTGCGGATGAAACAAAAACAAAACAGACAAGTAACCAATGCAGAATTTGTTTAATCCGAATGCCATATCATTTGGGTAGTTTTGGATTAGCGAGGTGTGTAAAATTAATAAAGAGATCAAGGAATTTCATCATGTTATGTGCAAAGAAAAAAAATCACCTAATAATAATCTGACACAGCTCTTGCCTCAAAATTGTGAAATCATTCTGGCCCCTCTTCTTTAATCATTTCTGATGCAAGTTCAAATGGATAACAAATGTCATAGATTTTAACCACTAAAAAATGTTGTAGGGATTTTCTAACACCAGATGTGCGATTGAGTTGTGGTAGAGTGAATGTTGTTTTATCACTTTTTTTTTTTTTTCCCCTCAGTGGGTCAAAAGCAAATTGAACCTGTATACAAATGCTAAACGTCTTTGAAATGTCTCGCATGTGCATTTAATTTATGCATACCCAGACATCCTGCATTAAAGCAGCAGTTCACTGAAGTTCAGCCTGTATATTTTCAATCACTCTCCAGGTAAATGATAAAACAAGCCTTCTTCCCCAGTCACACTGTTGTTAAAATAACATGCATTTTATATCTTCCATCCACTTCCGCTCAGTCCGACTGATATGTTTGAATACCAGCACGTACTATGATTCAACATATAGTTCCTCGGCAAATCAGATAATGTCACTAAATATCCACGTTTTTGTAAAAAGTCATCACCGTTTCACACAAATGTAATGTTCACTTGCAATCAGCCACCAATTGACGTTCAAATGCCTAAACCACCACAAAGTCTTATTTTTAAGTGGCTTGAGTGACACAATTTGACTTTTAGATTATTTTTGGAATTCAGACATCTTTAGTTGACAGCGAGGAGATGGACTGTTAGTGACTGATATTTCAAACTGCTGTTACTGGGAAAGTGTTGGTGAAACCGTTTGGCCGTTCACCTACTTATTTGCTCCAAAAACCATTTGAAACGATATATCTCTGTGAACTGCTGTGTATGTCGGTAAGGCGCAGGGCTGACGTCTCTGAAACCCACACTTTCGATGAAGCTTTGCACAAAACGAGTTCCCTGTCAGAATCAGAATCACCTTTCTTTATTGTCGTTTTCTTTTGGTAAGGGATATGTGCTTGAATGCATGGCTCTGTTGAGAGCAAATAAATACTTTATATTTTATTAAGCTGCTCCATAGGTGAAATGTCCTTTTCAGGCCCTCTTAGCACACCTCTGTTTCCATTTTGCTGCCTGTAGACCGGAGTTAATTTATTGATCAAGTCATTATATATAGTAATAGTGCAGCTGCTAAGCATAACTTTTGATGCACCATGTACATGCAACTGGTTGAAGGTCTCTCTCCCTATGAACTTTCTATCTGAAGTTGCCACGAGGAGTGTTTACCATCAGGTCCATAAACACTGACTCCTCTCACTTTACCCTCCAAAAAAAGTAGTTAAAGGTATAGTTAACCCAAACTTTAACATTTTGTCATAATGTTCATGTTGTTCCAGCTCTTTCTGTGAAACACAAAAGGAGATGTTATGAAGATCTGCTCTTTTTCCATACAGAGGAAAGTAGATGGTGATTTATGCTCTCAAAGCGTGAAAAAGCACCATGCGGGTATCATAAAACTCGTCCAAACATCTTTTGCGCTGTATTCCAAGTTGTCTGAAGCCATATCAATAGGGTTGCAAAAAGGTGGAAAATTTCCAGTAAATTTCGGAAATATTGAATATTCCAGGGATTTTTGGAAAGTTCCCGGAAATATACCGGAAATTTTCCACCCCTCTGCAACCCTACATATGTGAATAGCTTTGTGTTTGCATTTGGCGTACAATATGATATATTTATTTTCCATATGATATTCTATGTTGGCATACTGTATGAAATGATACATTGAGATTTGAGAGCTCCAATGTAAGGTTATTAGTGGAAAAAAGCTTAAATTTCAGTCTGTTTTCCACACAAAGCTAGCATATGACTTCAGCATATAGTGCAGAAGTTGTTTGGATCACATTTATGGTGTTTTTTTGCTTGCTTTTTGTCCTTTTCAGCCCTTTTCAAGATAAATCCCCATTCACTTTTATGGAAAAGGGCAGCTTGGACATTCTGCGTGGCATCTCCTTTTGGATTTCAAGTGAATAAAATGAACTTGGAACAACATGATGGGGAGTAAACAGTGACAAAATGTTGATTCTTGAGCCAACTATTCCCTTAAAAACTGACACATGTGAGTATTGTAACCTGTATTTTAGCCATGCCAAGCCTACACCTCATTTCCAGATAAATGCATGGCTTCAATATGCCTCGTCGGTGGTCTGAAATGTACACAACACTGGTTTATCTCGCAGCATAAGGCATTAAAAAAAACACTCCTGACATTTCTGCACTGTTTTCCTGAGCCCTCTGTTTCTTTGCTGTCCTCTGATGTTAATTTAGTTGTTTTGTCTGGATTTACGTTATGAATAAAGCTTTTATTGCACAGAACTGTTTGTAATAAAAATGCACTACATATAAAGAATGTCATCTTCCCATGCACAACGGTCTGATCTTTGTGAATTAACCGAAATTACATCAAGAGACTCTTCCTACAGGGGACCATTTTGTGACCTGATATGTATTTGTGTGATAGTTTGGTGTTGTGGGGGTGTCTTTTTCTTTAATGTTCCTCTTCTGCCCCCCTTCTTGAGAAGCTTTTGTTTCAGTTGATCACCTTTGGCTGATACTGGATTTCTAAGAACAGAGGAGCTTACAATAATGTCATACGGCAAAACTTTGCTTTGTAAGTAACTTTAGGAGATGTTCAGGGTATAGTGATTTTTGGACTGCAGTTTATGTATAGTTCACCAAGGAGTATGATTGCCATGGAGAGGGAGGGATTTGGGGGCCTATCAGCCAATCAGCTGGCTTGTAATTATACCTAAACGTTATTATAGTGCCCCAAACCTTCACATATGATGTAAACATGAAGGTGACCGTTTTGTATGTATATAAATAAATAAATAAATGAGTCTAAGATGATAATTAAGGTTGATATTCCTAGTCAAGTAGTCTATAATGGTATATAAAGAAACCCCAACTTTGTTGGACTATGTAGCATCTTAATAAATTAAATCAATAAAGCCCCAGTCCAAAACTTCTTGTGCTGTTTGTTCTTTTGTCTAGTTTCCATTGTTCACTTAAAGGAGTAGTTCGCCCAAAAATTAAAACTTGCTGAAAATTGACTTTCTTTACCATCAGGTCATCCAAGATGTAAATAAGTTTGTTTCTTCATAAAACAGATTTGGAGAAATGTAGCATTACATCACTTGCTCACCAATGGATCCTCTGCAGTGAATGGGTGCCGTCAGAATGAGAGTCCAAACAGCTGATAAAAACATCACCATAATCTACAAGTAATCTACATGACCCCAGTCCATCAGTTAATGTCTTGTGAAGCGAAAAACTAAGAAACAAATTTAACTTAAAGGGGTCATATGATGCTATTTCAATTTTTCCTTTCTCTTTGAAGAGTTACAAGCTCTTGGTGCATAAAGAAGATCTGTAAAGTTGCAAAGACTAAAGTCTCAAATCCAAAGAGATATTCTTTATAAAAGTTAAGAGTCAACCACGCCTACCTAAAACGGCTCGTTCTAACACGCCCCCACATGTCTACGTCACGATGTGGAAATATTTGCATAACGCCGCCCAAATGTTCACGCAAACAAAGAAGGCGTAACTTTTTTATTCTCGCTGTAGTATTGTTGCTGCCACCAATAATGTTCTTTTTAGCAACATCATATGACCCCTTTAAAACTGTTTCTTCAAACTATTGCTTTCTCACGTGAAAAAGTCTGGATCAGGAGAGAAATATGCACTGATCAAGCACAATTTACAAGCAAAAACATTTAACAGGACAATATGGGATTGACTTTATCACTGGAGAAAGCGTTATTAGGGATTATGGACTTTTTTTTTAACAAACAGCTTTTTGTTTCACAAGACGTTAATTGATGGACTGGAGTGGTGTGGATTATTGTGAGGTTTTTATCAGCTGTTTGGACTCTCATTCTGATGGCACCCATTCACTGCAGAGGATCCATTGGTGAGCAAGTGATGTAATGCTACATTTCTCTAAATCTGTTCTGATGAAGAAACAAACTCATCTACATCTTGAACTGCCTGAGGGTGAGTACATTTTCAGCCAGTTTTAATTTTTGGCTTAACTATTTCTTTAGTACGTTTTCAGTGTACTCTGAATTGTGTGCCTAATGTGTTTTAATGTTGTTGATTTGTTTTAGTAGTGACAGCAAAATGATGGATAGTACACCTGTCAGTTGACTTCCTGTTGCATGTTTGAGGAGATTTCTGTCGACTGCATTGTAAGAGTCTCATCATATGACTTTTGAAATTGCACTCTTTACTACTTAAGAGTTTTAGTTTTCACTTTCTCAAACATTACGGTTGTGGTTAAAAACGTATAAACCTTTATTATGGACTAGTGACATCATTAAACTCCACCACAGGTCTACCGCACTACTTCTGATGATAACTTTAAAAGTTATTGTACCCACAAGTAGACATGTTCAAGTTACAGAAAATGACAGGACACCTGCACAAATGTATACATAACGTGCAAAAATAATGTAAAACAAACAGTTAGGAAGTCTGTTCCAGCTATAGCTTACTATGCTTATTTGGATTTTACACATTTGACCTTGCAGGACTGTGGACCTCAGTTTGGTCTTTGCTAAAAAAAAAAAAAAATGCAGGATGCCCCCTTATTCTTTTTATTTCATTTTGAAAATGTACAGAGCAGATGTTCGTTTGTAATTATACAGAAACATTTTAGTGCAATTAAGTATTTTTTATTGATTAAATAACGCAATACATTACAAAGAACATTTAGAAACATACAAAGACATTCAAATAAATTGCATCAATGCATAAATGTCTGTTTTTTTAAGTTATAAAGTATTAGTTCAATTAAGCGTTTTTATTGCATTTTTGTACATTTTTTGTAAATAACCCACATTTTACCATAAATGAAATGTTGTAAATGTTGTTTTTGAAGTTTACTCTTTAATGGCAGTTTAAAACTAAATGGTGATTGAGTTGTTTAGTCAAACTGTTGAAATTGCTGTTCTTTTTTTTTTTTTTTTTTTTCAAAGTCTGTCCAACTTGGTTTCTATGAAGGTGAACAGTATTTACTGCATCTCACAAAGCAGAACAATAAACACCTTTTTGTTTGGTTGATGTTCTGCTGTGAACTTTAAGACAAGAAGCATAGTTTGACTAGACGGGAATGGAATGAGGTCAGTCTTAGGGAAATTCGCCCTGATTTTTCATAAGGATGTAATTTGATCCTTTACAGGACCTCACACTTACACTTTGAAAACAGATGGCGTACACTGTAAAAAAAAACTCTGTAAAATTTACGGTAAAAAACCGGTAGCAACGTTTTAGGTTTTACGGTTTTAACTTAAATTTACAGTTAAATACCGTATTTTCATTAACTGATATAATGTTAGACCTTATAGATATCTAATGTCTTTTAAAGTTTCTAATGGAGCTTGTGAGTGGAGGTCTGTAGTCGAGAATGTAAAAGGGCAAATATGACTGACGTAACTCTTCTTTGTGAGTATTAATGAATTGTGCATATTGAGGCTGTTACTGTACTCTGGAAGACTTGTATGAAGCTACTTGCTTGTACCGGTGCTGTCTCAAGTGGTAGTATCATTTTGTGGGATGAAATCAGTTTTATGATGGTTTGGAAAGACTACCATCAAATAATGACTCTTATAAATAGTGCAAATGCTTACCATGTGTGAAGAATACTTATGTAATGAGATACAATAACACTTTTTTTAAGCATCTCTGCTACATAAGCAATGTCAGTTGTCTGGCCGACCGAGGGGATTTTTTTGCCGCTGTTAAGTATGGAATGTTATCTTTGTACTTTTATAATTTTTGCATTGAAGGCTGGATTTCATCAGTCTGTTTAAGAAGTTGGTTCACATTGTTTCCTTACTAAGAAATTATGATGACAAACCCACAAAGATTCTGAGGTTTGGACACATCGATCTGCTGAAGGAAAACGTTTTACTTTGGCATTGTGTTGTTGTACCTTTCTTTATTATCGTTTGCCAGCCAGAAACATGTTCTCCTGCGAATGCATGATTACAAAATCCGAACTTGGTGCCACATACGGATCACTCCACCACAGTGGACTGTGCATGTCAAGTCTAGTTGATTTGATTCTTTAGTTCATGTTTTTCAAAAGTGAGTACTATTGTTGGACTATTTACCATGATTCAGGTCCGAATCCATGTAGGCCTGGTTCTTGTTGAGACATAAGTGCAACTAGTATGATTGCAACACATGCAACAATAACACTTATTCTACATTCAGAAATTAAACATTATCTTTATTTGTCTTTGATTGCTGGTTGTGCTTCATCACCCAACTGTTTTTATCTGCATATATATATATATACACAGTGGGGCAAAAAAGTATTTAGTCAGCCACCAATTGTGCAAGTTCTCCCACTTAAAAAGATGAGAGAGGCCTGTACAACACAAAAATGATCTATTTTTTAAATGTAAACAAAAAAATTCCTTCAAAATTTGAAATGTGTTATAACTGAACTACATAGTCTCAAAAATATGCAAAATTATTAATATGATGTACACTGCTATTCAAAAGTTTAGGATTGATAAGATTTTAAATTTTTCTTTTTTAAGACGTCTCTTATGTTTACCAAGGCTGCATTTATTTGATCAAAAAGTTTGAAATATTATTGCTGAAATAGCTGAAATAGAAAAGCTGTTTACTATTTTCATATATTTTAAATATAAATTATTCCAATGGCAAAGCTGAATTTTCAGCATCATTACTCCAGTCTTCAGTGTCACATGATCCTTCAGAAATCATGCTGATTTGCTGCTCAAGAAATATTTCTTATTATTATCAATGTTGAAAACTTAATATTTTTGTGGAAACGGTGATGCATTTTTTCAGGGTTCTTTTTGAATAGGAAGTTCAGAAGAACAGCATTTATTTGAAATATAAATTTTTGTAAAATTATAAATGTCTTTGCTTTCATTTTTAATCAATTTAATGCCTCCTTTGTATATATATAAAAAAAACTGAAATCTGTGAAACTCCCGAACTTTGACTTTATAGAGTTTCTAAGTGTCTCTTGAATGTAATGGTTTCATGCTCTCGGCAGCCAGTAATTCACCACATGGTGCACTTTCCAAGTTCGTCCTCTTTGAAAGTGAATATAACGCAGTCTGGCTTGTGTTTTTGTTCACCTTGCGTAGTTTTGATTGTGGTTTTTGAGGATGTCATGCTATGGCCTTTGATGCACACGGCCTTTGATGTCAACAACAAATGACAAGAGAAATGTGCCTCCTCCCTTTTTAAAAGTTGATAAGCCGGTTTATTTTGTCATCCTGGCTCCTCATGATCCACTAGTTTAGAACAGCAGCTCTAGCATGTTGTTCCTGATCACAAGAGCCAATGATCAAAGCCGCCCATCCCATTAGCAATAATAATTGGAGCAGTAGAGCAAGGCGCAAAGACATTGTAACTAGGACACAGTCATGCTGTTATGCTTCGCAACTTTTAATTGAACAGTGTAAAATAGGCCTTGTGTTAAATCTTTTTATAGATTCTTTTGACAAGCAAGAAGCGTGATTACAAGCCGAAGGCTTTTTTGCTATATGATCTTCCGACAGTTGGCTTTTATTAGTTTAAGTGTAACCACAGAAAGACCTCTGAAAATTGTCACTTATTTTTAATCAGTTTTGGTGGACTTCTAAAGTTAGCTTGGATTGATCTGCTGTTATTGGCGAGCTCCTAACAGACACTGTATACGACTGTCAGAATGGAAAAGTGTCTTGTTCTCCCTCTCTCTATTTATTATTTCCAAATTCCTAACCTTTGGAACTCGTTACAAGTAGAAAGCATTTCCTCATGGCACCCAGAGCCACCATTATAGACACCATTTAATATGAACAATCTGCTGCCTTTTGGATGTGACTTGCTGACTCGCTTTGCCCTCCGCGCTCTCTTCCGTTACGTCCCTCGGCCAGTGACCATTATTTCATTACTTTTAACAGAAACACCACAAACTCCATTGGTTCATGATCCCAAAAGGGTTGTTTAACAGGAATAAGCTTGCAGATGGTTTTAATGACTTAGTTCTAAGATGAGTAAAAAGAAATAGAGTTGAAAGTGGAAGTCTCTTGAGTGTTTTGGGCAATGGCTGGCCATATGACATTGCTTATTAAAGCTTTGCGATGATCAACATTTCAAAATGAAGGGTTATTCCAATTTCTTTTCATTTCTACTGTTAGGTTTGAACTCTGTGTTCGGCCGTTATCTGGTAAGTTCAAATGCTGAGAACATCTGTGATTAATAAGACACAAGATTTTATAAGATTGTCATTGTTGCATACAAGAAGTTTTTGTTTTTTTCCCCTACATAACGCAACAGTGCAGTTTTTTCAACGACTTTGTTCTGTAAGTATTTGTGCCATTCATTTTCCTCATAGGGTCTTTTTTTAATTGTTATACAAGCCATAAAACAAACCACCCATATATGAGAATCACAATATTTTTATCTGACTCATCTTGATTTTTGAAGCCAAAAAATTTGTATTTGTAATTTATATATATATATATATATATATATATATTAGGAGAGAAAAAAATTTAAAACCCCTGAAATCTTGTGAATAATGTAAAAATAAAATAAAGTAGACTTTATACAATATAAAAATGTCATAGACATTTGATTATTACAAAATATTTGTATGCAGACCAAAATAAATGTAGTTTGAGACTGTAATAAGACCTGTTTGATTCATTCACTGTGCTTCATGGGAGCAGTTGGATGTTGAGTTATTTTGCTGTAATATCCGTTTCCATGATAATGTGATTGGCGTCTGTTCAGGATTATGGTTAACGTAGTTCTTTACAAAATAATGTGGCTTTTACAGAAGCATATATCATCACTTCAGCACAGGATCTTGAAAGGTTCACACTATTGCTATAAATGTGGTTTCACAATGGATAAAAGAATGATATTTTGCTGTATACAATATCTGAACATGAGCTGTATGATTTCATATGAATGAAACGAGTGCTTAGCATCTGATTATTTCGTAATTGATGCATTAATGTTTATGCATTTAACTAAGGATTCCCTTATAAAATTGACCATGGTAGTTGCTAAAAAATAAAAAAAAAAGCAATTGTTTCTAAACCACATAAACAAATATGGTATTTCTCTCTTTTTTATATCCCATATTCATTTATTTTATATTCCATATTTATTTTTATACATTTTTTTAGCAAAACTATGGCTACTATGGTACATTTTTGTAAGGGTTCTGTCAAAACTATAACGATCAATATCATACATGCATTTTTATGTTTGACAGGTTCATTTGGACTTCTTGGAATTGTTTTTTTTTTTTTTCTTCTTCTTCTTCTTCTTCTAAAGATTGTCTCCAGAACAAGGAATCACTCCACTCTGTAAAAACAGAAAATCGCATGCTCTGCTAAACTAAGACTGAATGAGTTGAACACTTCCTGTTCTTCCAAATAAACAGAGGGAGTGAATTGTACACAGAGTTCTGAGAACTTACGCTTCAGATATTGGCGAGTGCGAGCATAATGTGGAAGCCATATGACAGCTCGGTTCAAATGTCTTGCACATGTATTCAACATTGGATGTGAATTGAAGCATTGTGCAAGAGCTCACTGACTGTGCATACAGCCACACACAATACATTTTGCACTATATATGTACATATGTTAATAGAGAATCAATGTTCAAAAAAAGCATCCATTGAGTTTCATATCAAAATTACTTTAATAGAGCAATAAATATGTTCACCCTCACCATTATTAGAAGATTAAAGCGACATAACATGTATTAGATGGCAAAATTTAGCTACAACTCCTTGTCTTGAAGACAACAACCTAATATTGAAAGAATACAGGGTAGTTCATGTTGAATGTAGTCCATATATGCTCTTCAGATCAAATAATCAGGACATACAAGATCATAAAAATAGGCATTTTGACTTCCAGCGTGTTTGTATTGTTTTTGGAAATCTTTCTTTCTTTATTCCCAGTCAAAAGGGAATCTGTATGTCCATCTGAATCTCCCATATCTTTGATTTTAAAGCTGAAGAATTGCAATTATAATGGTTGTTTCAAACAGGTTCTTTGAACACTCCCGTTTCCTATTGGTCGGTCAAACAGATAGTCCCGCCCCAAACTCACACCACTGTTGTACACTGGTAAGTATTTGAAGTACTTGACCTTTAACTGTTCATCTTGATGGAATGTTGGCAAATATACTGTGACGAGAGGAGCGGGGCCGTGAGCCGTGGGAACGGAGCGAGGCCGGTGGAGTAAATGCTAATGCACAACACCTGCGCCACTCACCGGTCTCGAGTCCCACGGAGGAGCTCCGGAAGGATAAAAGGAGGAGTGACGACAGTGTTGGAGGAGAGAGGACCAGGCCTGGACTTCGTGCAAAACGTCGTGCATTAGCATTTACTCCACCGACCTCGCTCCGTTCCCACGGCTCTCGGCCCCGCCTCTCTCGTCACATATACTTTCTACAGAACAATCAGGTTTCCATGTAGCATTCTTCTGGAGTTCATATATAACAATGCTCCAAATGACAGACATCAAAAATTTATGTTGATATACCATATGATTAAAGGGCGGTTTCTATGTAAAATCTTGCTTTATGAAAATCTCAGATAAAAAAAGTGTCATATTTCAGAGCATTTGCAGCAAGCGTTTTGTTATAGCACCGAAGTGAACAATCCTCCTCCAGTCTATCAGATTGTACAATGCCCGTAATAAATGGGTCAGATTTTGATCAGTGAGCGTGAATGGCACGTCATATTTTAGAAAACATAAATATTCCAGCACCATGCATTTAGAATGGTCAACAGAATCAACGAAGAGTGCAGTGCATTAGCGGAGCTTATCTCTGGTCCTGTTGAATGATCACTGTAGGAACTGTAGCGTGGCTCCACCCCAACCCTTGTGCTGCATTGCACCATTGGTGTCTGAAAGGACGTTGGCCTTTTTGCAGGTCGATCTGGGCTGGATCCATCCATGGGCCTTTCTCCACTGAACAATAGGGGGCGCCCTTTATGATCCACTCCCATCTTAAACAGCTCGTACTCTTTATGTGGAAGTCGTATCCCCAATGCTTCGCAACCATCCGTCCAGGTTATGTCTTGCTCAACACCCGTCTCCCACCCACCCGCCTGACCACATCTTCTATTTTGCGTTGAATTAAAATCCCGCAATAGTGCTTGGTCATACACGATCACTTTTGCTCGTGTCACCTTGAAGATAAGCTCGGTGGCCCCACGTACTTTAACGGACTGTCCCACTTTAGCATAATGACCTGATGCCAATAGTGTAAAGCTGGGCTGGCGGCACACTGGGTCGGTGTAATGTTGGTAGGTGCCCTCCCAAGTGCGTTGCTCCTCGTTGAAAACAAAAAGGCGAGTGAGGAAGAAGACGGCTGGACGGGACTCGCAGCGTTGGCTCACCCAGTTTCCATTTAGATCCAGAGGGATGGAAGGGGATTGAGGAAGAATGGGTGGATGCTGTTCAGAGGATCGGTATACCAGGGCACACACTGGGCATGGGTGGATGTGGTGCTGAGAGTAAAAACAAGGATATTGTTAATTTTATTATACTGTTCAGAGGACATATTAAATTGCTCAAAAATGACAGTAAAGGCATTTGTAATGTTACAAAAGAATTCTAATAAATGCTGTTCTTCTGAACTTTCCATTGAAGAACACTATAAAGAACCTTTTGTGGAATGGAAAGTTTTCACACTCTTAAAAATAAATGTTCTTTATTGGAATGTATGGTTCCACAAAGAACATTTTAACATCTGTGAAACCTTTCAATTTCACAAAAGGTTCTTTATAGTGGAAAATGGTTCTTTAGATTTTTAAAATGTTCTTTTAAGAGCTGTTCACTAAAAGGTTCTTTGAGGAACCAAAAATGGTTCTTCTATGGCATCACTGTGAAAACCTCCTTTTGGAACCTTTATTTTTAAGAGTGCATGGATGATAAAGGTTCTTCATGGAACCATAGATGCAAATAAGGAACCTTTATTTTTAACAGTGTGCTCACTGAAAGGTTCTTTTAGGAAACCAGAATGGTTCTTCTATGGACAGGGTGCCCAATCCTGTTCCTGGAGATCAACCTTCCTGCAAAGTTCAGTTCCAACCCTGATCAAACACAACTGAACCAACTCATTAAGATCTTCAGTAGCACTCGATAATTACAGACAGGTGTTGAAACTGCACTCTGCAGGTAGCTAGGTAGATCTCCTGGAACAGGATTTGGGCACCCCTGTTCTATGGCATTGCTTTGAAATCCCCCTTTTAAAACCTTTATTTTTAAGAGTGTAGTAATTGAATATGGTCAGCATTTTATCCTAAGCAGTTTTTAAGCAAAAAAAATACTGTAGTCTTAACTCTCACCATAGCATTTTGCAGAGGCTCTTGGTAACCAGTCGGTCTGTGGTGCACCCTTTCGTTCCAGTCTGTGTGCACATCCCCTAAAAACATCTCCTGAGCCGGCCTGCTGTGAGGATGGTGATGGGTCTCCACCCGCAGCAACTCCAGTTCCATCATGGATAACCCAAGAGCACCCAGGCAGTCTTTCTCTGCTTTGGCATTGAAGAGTTCATAGAAGCGATGAGGCACCAGGTGTCCTCCAGCTTTGAGCCCCAGGCAGGAAGAGGGCAGGCGGGTAGCGAGATGATGAACGGCCTTCTGGCTGTGAATGACCATTCCTACTTTATGGAGGTGGTGCTCTGCTTCAGTGGCTCCATGGGTGATCCACGAGGCCTGGCGTAGCCGCAATTTACCCCTGATCACAAGCGAGTAGGTTGAGATGTGGCACTCGCTGTCAGAGTAGTAGTGCTGGAGGGCCCTGAAGAGACGTGTGGGGCTTTGGTAAAATGTGTAGGATCGAGTGAGGAATTCTGGGCCAGGTCGCACTTCACATCTGAGAAGAAAAGAACAATATTTAAAGTTAGAAAGTTAGCCAAAATGGCAATTGCAAACCATTTTACTTCCATAATGTGATACATTTTCAAGTGAAGGATATTCAATGAGACAAAATGACTGAACTACTTTAAATTACGCTTGGCTTGTTGCTTCACAAGCTTTAGTTTCAGAGTAGGTTTCTCAACACTGATATGCACTGATGAATCGTTCACAATGAGACCAGGATTTTGCGTTGAAACATAAATTGGGTCAAATTTGAATTCATGTTGACTTTAAAAGTAGAAAAGGGTTTCTAGTTGTCTCTTACCTGCTTGACACCCAGTTGCCCTCCAGTTTGGGTGGTATGGTGGCTGTGATTCTTGCTTCGTTCTGTAGATGGCGTAGCTGAGTCTGGCACTGTGGCTCCCAAAACAGTCTTGTGCTGAGGTTGGCATGGGGTACGAATGGGGCAGTGGGCACTTCCCACAGCTTAATGCCCCTCACACACAAAACTGAGGAGAGACAGGGAAATTATCATTCTGTATGCGTTATCACAGACATTGCATTTCTGCCTGCATGTAAGCTCATAGTTTATATGAAAGTGTGGTTTAGGATTTGACTCTTGCTTTAGGACTTCAAAAATAATTAACCCAAAAATCACCCTCAGGTCATCCTAGATGTAGATGAGTTTGTTTCTTCATCTGAAGAGATATGGAGAAATTTAGCATTCCATCACTTGCATTCCATGAAACCCTTGCGGTGAATTGGTGCCGTCAGAATGATAGTCCAAATATAAAATAATATATAAATATATAATAATATATATATACAGCTGATAAAATAAAGAAACAAACTCATCTACATCTTGAATGGTCTGAGGTTGAGTAAATATTCAGCAAATTTTCATTTTTGGGTAAGTGTTTGTTTTCTTTTCATCATTGAAGTTAGTGAATTACAGTACACATACATGTGTATAAATTGTATTGAAAAAAGAAAATATTTGTATTAAAAAAATGATCATTTAAATCCTAAAAAGTTTCTGTATGTTAATGTTTTTAATAAAAATATTTCCTAAAAGTGTTCATAAACTTGAAGCTAGTCCTAATTAACAGTTTATGTGGATTGCTGTTGCTTGTAAGAGTTGCCAATATATTAAATCCAAAAGGCTTCACTGAAATTGTTCCAGAAGGTCTAAGTTTGAAATAATGTGCTAATCTCTTTTCATGACTCTGTTGCCACATTTCCAAATAAATTAAACCTTTACAAAACCTCTTCAAAAAGCTTTGGTACCTCCACTTCATGGTCTTTTACGGTCCATAAACAGGATTCTGCTGAACTGGAAGTGGTTGAAGGATTTTGCATTTCTGTAATTTTCCGTGTAATGAAACGTGATGTGGTCTATTAGAGCCATATATAGATCCCAATCCTGCTCTGACCATGATTTGTGGTGAGGGACGCGAGGCCAGAGGTTTGGCATTTCACTTCAATCAGACACCATCTTCAAGGGAATGGGAAGGGATATGTGGCGCTGGCCAATGAAAACAACAATTTTTGACAATTTTTTTAAACAGTCAGAAAAGCAAACATGGTTCCAGCTCATGAGGAGTGAGATTTGTCAACATGGCACTGGGCATCTTTGTTTGATCGGTAAATCTCCTTGCCGTTGGCCTCACCACAGAGCTGTCCTTGAGTACGAACATTGCAGATATATGGTGTAGTAAACCTGATTAGCAGAGGGAGAACTTTGCAAAGTTGCATGCTGAGAAGTGTTTTACTGTACATGGACACAAAAACAACTTGCTCCAAAGAGAAGTGTGGGATGGAGAGAAACAGCTTTATTTGGGACTTCCTTTACTCCTGTGCCAAATGTCAAATAATTATTCCAAATACAAACAGGTTGAATTACATGTCCAAGTCTCATTTCACCCTCAAATCATGAAGCCAGTTTTAGGACAATTAGTTGTATTGTGGCAGTTTATTTTCATAACAATTAAGTGCATTTCTCCCCAGAACACTTTAATGATGAATTAGAGGTGAGAGGTTTTAAATGTAAATTGTTTGTAATTCTCATTTTCTCATTTTTATTATTCTATTACTGTCAAAAAAAAAAAAACGGTGATGTACAAATTATTT